GGGTGGCTGGATGTGGGCAGAGGTAGACCCTACTTCTCATTAGAAGACTGGGCAGGCACTCTGCCATCTTCTCCAGCTAGGCCAAGAACTTGCTCCCTACGGAGGGTGCCTTGAACTGCACCTTAGTCCCCTGTCCTCAGGGGCAGGACTCTTGAGTGTTAAGAGGCTTTGAATTTCTTCTTCCTGGAAACGGGTCCCATGCCCATGCTTGGAGAGTAGGGCTGTCTCAGGAGCAGGAGGCTGTGTTCTGTGGATAATTAAGGACTATTCTTTTTTCCTATCCAGCCTTTTTTTCCTCAGTTTAAATGAGAAGCTGAGGCTGGTCCTTCCAACCCTGGTTTCTATGTAGCTGCCCTCAACTGGCCCCCATTCCCATGGGGTGATCCTAGCTCTAGGCTGGATGCCTGGAGAGACTACCAGGGTCCGCGGGGCAATGATGGGCCTGAGGAGCAGGGCTAGGCCAGGAGGGGTGGTGGCCGTCTCCCCTGGCCTGGCTGCCAGGAAGTTGCACAAGAGGAATGTTTATTTTTGGTGAGCTGGGTGGGATTTCTTTCCTTAAAAAAAAAAATAAAATAAAAATAAAAAACCCCAAACATAAAACTTATTTGTCTGCCAGGAAGATAAATATCTTTGCTGGAAGCTCTTGGCCCAGCTGCCAGCTGCAATTCACACAACGCTGTCACCGAAGCCACGGCCCACTGTGTAAGCTGGGCTCACATGGCTGTCATTTGTGATGCCTCCGGGTGGGTGAGCCACCCCTGTGGCATTGACGCTGTGAGTGGCCCTTCAGGAGCTGCTTCCAGGCCTGCTCTGGGCCCTCCCCTCTTCTTCCTTTCTTCAGCACCACAGAGTTGGAGGGAGACTGAAGCATAAAGTCCCTCTTGGCTTCCCTAATGCTCACAGGGAGGCTGGTAAACCTGAACTGTCAGTCCCCCATCCCCAGTCTGGACGGCATCAGAAGATCAAGGCTAGATGCATCATTCCGATGCAAAATGCAAATTGCATGACCTGTTTCCAGAAGAAGAAACAGAAGGTCAGAATGGGTGGTGCTTGTTGTACATGGACAGAACTTAAGTGTATTGAAGGATTTCCCACAATCTCCCTCCACATTTCATTGAACTCTCTCAATGAACCTGTCTCCTTCTCTCTGAGTCTCAGATAAGGAATATGGCCAAAAAGGGGCTCCCCACATCTGGAGACATGCCTTGATTCCCATCCCATAATGCTTTTATACACGTGCCTGCACCCCGGGGACTTTTCCCATGGAGGACTTGTCCTGGGTCATATTCCTCTAGTGCTGGCCGGGCCTGTAAGCCTGCAAGGCCCGACCAGAAGTAGGAGCCAGTAATGGAAGAGTGCCTCTCCCTTTCTCAGGGGCCATAGGGAATATCCCGTGGGCATCTTCATTCACCCACAAAGTTACAGAGGGGAAACTGAGCCGCAAAGGGGTTCGTTAGGAACATGGAGCTATAGAGCCAGAGGTGTGGCAGACACACCCTGGTGCCGGGCTCTGGAGCCCAGGCTCTGAACCCTCTGCCATTGTGAGGCAAGTGTGTCTGCCCAGATGGACGGATGGGGCCAGCAGCTCTCACCCTCCTAGCCTGGTCTCCACCTCCCCACTCTTGACCTGCATGGTTTGACTTGGTTCCTTGTAGCCCTGAGCTTCCAGGAATCTACCATGGGGGTCCCATTCTGTCAGCAGGTAGCAGCAAGGGCTTGGTCTGTGAGCTGTGTTTGCAGTGGCCCCAAAGAGGGGATCCTCAGAGGTGAGGGCCTGAACAGCTGTGGCAGACAGTGGCAGCTGCTGCTAGTGAAAGGGACCCCAGCAAGCACCTATGCCTCAGTGAAACCCACCTGCTAAAAGCCCCTCTGCGGGCAGTGAGACCACTGTTACCAGTGGAGTGGGAGGTGAGGGGTGGGTCTCTCAACACTTAAGTCTTGAGACAGTCTTCAAGGCTTCTCAAGAGATATTGGCTGTAAGGGAGGAGTCGCACAGCCACAGAGTGAGGAGAAAGTCACAAAGGTCAGACAGGCAAACCCAGAGCTACCTGACATTGGTGCCAGAAGAGACCCACTTAAGAATGATACCACAGGGTGAGATAGGGGAGGGACTTGCCTAGAGTCACCCAGCGTGTTGATGAGAAGCTGGGATATGAAATTTGACTCTCCTGACCGGGCACTCCGTGTGCCTCTGTTAGGGGAACGTGTTCTCCCTCGACTAACCTTCCTTTCTCTCCCTCAGCCAAAGAGAGCAACCTGGGCGAGCCAGAGTTGCCCCCCGACTCGGAACCCGTGGGCATGGACAACAGCTACCTCAGTGTGAAGGAGACAGGGACCAAGGGGCCCCAGGACCGGGCAAGTGCTGACATCCCCAGCCCCCTGGAAAAGACCGACTCGGAGAGCAACAAAGGCAAGAAGCGGCGGAACCGCACCACCTTCACCAGTTACCAGCTGGAGGAGCTGGAGAAAGTCTTCCAGAAGACACACTACCCCGATGTGTATGCGCGCGAGCAACTGGCTATGAGGACCGATCTCACCGAGGCCCGTGTACAGGTCAGCCGGAGTGACAGGCAGGGGACCCACAGGGCCTGCGAGGCCTTGGGCCCCAGCTGCAGCTGGGATCTACTGACTACTGTGGGCTCTGCCAGGTTCTCTTCATCCCAGGAGGGCGTGACAAGCCAAGAGGGGGACTGACTACCCCAATGCCTCTTCCCCAGTCATAATAGATCTGCTCAGCCACTATAGTGAGCTCTGCAGGGTTGGGGCAGGAGAGAGAGGCCCTGTGGAGGAAGGGGAAGGCTTCCACCTGTGAGTCCATGCTTTGACCTAAGGACAAGATGGCGGGTCTCTTCTGGGAGGCCCATTTCTCAGACTGGAGATGAACAAGGCACAGGCATTTACAGCCCCATAGCAGAAGCAGGGAATGCTACAGCCCCATGCCTGTCTAGGATAGTGGCCTCCTACACCCGATCAACATGCCTCCTCTGAGGAGACTCCTGGCCACCATGGCCAATATGATGCCCTACCACAGCTACTACCTAAACCCAATTCAACCCAACTCAGCCCAGCACACCTAACACAGCCCAGTAGAACCAACTCAGTGCAGTGCGACCCACCATACACAGATCAGTCCAATCCAGGACAACACAACTCAATACAACATGGCCCAACCCAGTGCAAAGGAGCACAGACTAGTACAACCTACCTCAAAACAGTACGACTCACAACACAAGTTCAGTTCAACGCAGATCAATATGACACAGCCCAGAACAAGCTAATTCAACGTGGTGCAGTTCAGCACACACAGTTTAACCCAGTACAACCCCACCTAACAACACACTACAACCCAATAAAAACCAGCACAACAATACAACACAGCCCAGGACAACCAACTCAGCACAGCACCACTCACCACACACATCTCAGTTAAGCTCAGTACAACCAACCCAATGCAACACAACACAGCACAGTCAAACGTAACACAGCACATCATGTACAGCTCAGCTCAACCCAATGCAACATGGCCCAAATAATACAGCCCAACCTAACCCCACCCAACCCAACACAGCCCCGTACAGCCCAACTCAAGACAGTGTGACTCACAATACACAGCTCAGTTCAACCTAGCACAACCCAGCCCAACACAGAACATCACACCCCAACCCTCTCCAATGCAATATTACTCAGCCAACCCAATACAACCCAACTCAGCACATACAGCTCAGTTCAACACAGTTCAGCACAACAAAATTGAACCCAGTGCAACACAGTACCAGACAACGACCTCAACTCAATTCATCAAACACAGCTCCGTTCAGCCCAAACAAACCCTGTCGAGCTCAGTGTGCCAATTCAGTCCTGATCAACCCGGCTCGACTTGGGTAAACACTACATAGCCCTTTACAACTCAATCCAGCTCAACACAGCCAAAGCAGATCACTTTCTTCCACTCGTCCTCCTTCCTCTTCTGAATAGACTTTATGATTGGTCACAGTATTCTCTTGCCCCTGAAATGAGAGATCCTTGATTATCCATCCACCTGTGCTGCTTTTGAGATACGGTCTCTTGTAGCTCAGGCTGGCCCCTATCCTACTATGTAGCCACAGCTGGCCCGGAATTACTGGCCTTCTTGTCTGTCTCTCCTGCCCTGGGATTACAGGCTCAGGCCACACTTCTGTGTCCCCACCAGTTAGATCAGGCTGGATGCTGAGCAAAGGCAGCAAGGTTGTGTGGCCTAGCAGCCCTGCCTTGCCCAGAGGCTATGCCCCTTTGCAGGAAATCATAGCAAAGAAAGTGGAAGCCCGATATGCCAAAGCACATGTGAACAAGCCCACACACTAGCGTTCAAGCCTCCGTTTAACATGAAATCAACTCCATAGTCAGGTTGCTTTTCCACTCAAGGTATGGCAAGGACAGATCGTGAGGGTTCCTGTCCAGCAGCAGGAACCTGGCACTTTATTGCTCCTGATCTTATTTTTTAGAAAATGTCTTTTTTCCCTCTGCATCCTGAGCTTGCCGATTTGGCTACACTAGGTAGCCACTGAGCTTCCTGTCTGTTCCACTTGCCCGCGCTGGAGGACACAAGTGCACACCTCCATACCTGACTCTTTTAAGTGGGTTCTAGGGATCTGAACTCAGGACCTCTTGCTTCCATGGCAAGTATTTTAAAGACCGAACCATCTCAACAGCCCCAAGAGAGTGTTTCTTTTTAATGGGCACAGCCCTATGGTCTGGGGCCTGGGGAGTCAGAACAGAGTCCTGTGATCATGAGCAGATTCATGGACATTGTAGCGTTTTATTCTACTGGTGGTTCTGAGGCATCAGCTGAGTGTCTATCAGATTCACCAAGTCCTGTTTAACACACTGGGGCACTGCTGCAGTCTCAGGGTTTAATGAAGAACCACACAGCAGCTTGGCTTTTGCCATGCCAGAGCCGTCTCGTGCCCCATGAGACCTTACCTGCCTGAGATCTGAGCTCACAGAGGACCCCCGAATCCAGCCTCAGCTCCAGCCCAGGACTGGGGGCAGGGCAGGAGGGGTAGAGAAAGGGGTAACTGGTTGCAAACCCACAGTGCCAGTAGGTAGCATGTTGGCATGGGGTAAACCTGCTTGCTTTCTGCTTGTATGTGTGTACCTGTGTGCATGTGAGCACCACATGTGCACTTCTCCAATGAATTCGAGTGTCTAGAGCAGAGTTCAAGTGTCATTCAGCAAGAAGCAGAAAATGATACAAAATAAGTGTTTCTGGGTCACTGCTAGGACTTTGCCTTGTTGACACACACAGACATACTCAAGCCTACTTCCAAAACGTTGAGAAAATTGACAATTAGAGATTTATTTTAGTTTAAGATCAGAAACAGTGTCAAGAAATGAGGTGAGTGTGTTAAAACAAACAAACAAAAAAACCTCACCAGGATAAGGTTCATTATTGTCCGAATTCAGCCTCAAGCTTTTTGTCAGCCAGGGTAGAAAGGAAAACCTTAATCTATTGTCTATCAAATTATTACAGATTATACAACCACATTATAGGTACATTACAAATACAGATATACAAATATATAGATACATTACAGATTATACATTATCGAATGTATTCCTATCAAATAGGAAGGGTACAGAATTGCAGAACGGTAGTGCCGAAAAGATCCCATCATCTTTCAATGGGGAGGAATGACCGAGATGTGGGAAGTGATTGTCCAGCGTGGACAGCGATGCAGAAGCGGGGCTGAGCCTGGGATCCAGGACTCCCCAGCTCCAGGCCCGGGCTCTTTGACTTCAGCGTGCCGCTCCCAGCACATGCCAGATTGTTTTCTGTCTTTTCTCTGCACAAAAGCAGCAGGGTGGGTGGGATCGCCATGTGCGTCAAACCTCTGGGTTGAGCTCTGAGCCTGGCAGTGCCCTGGGGGTGGGGGTGAGTAGTGCAGGGGTGGACTAGAACTGTAGTGGAACGGTTTTGCCTGTCTCCGTGGCGTTTGCTCAGGACCCACACTCTGCTGGTGGCAAGCCAGGTGCCTGGTGTACAGTGATGGCAGCGGCCAGGAGGGGGCCATGAGGGGGGTCTCAAGATGGTCCTTCATGGGAAGCAGCCTGGGGTCTGGCCCTGCTCCAGGGAACTTCGGGGCCTCTCTCTGCTGTCTGGGATTCCAATCTCCACAGCTGGTGTCTGAAGACAATGAGACTCAGGCCTCCCCACCCTGGGCCACCCCGCCCTGGCCCCAGATGGGCTGCGGTTAGAGAGGCCTCCTCCAAGACAGTTGGTTCCTTGAACGGCCTGGTCCTCCGGAGAGGCCTGTGCTGAGTGGGCCAGGCCCGGGTGGCCCTGGAACGGGGTGGTCCTGGGCACGACATGCAGAATGGAAGCACAGTGGGGACCTTGGTGAGCTCTCCTCCTGGGGGATGTAGAGACAAGCCTGTGGTTGCACAGCCCTGAGGCACAGAGGCACAGCTGGGGGTCAGAAATGAGAGGACACTTGGAGTCTCTGCACAGAGACATGGATTGGAGCACAGAGGGACCAGCAGGTACCATGCGACCTCCTAGAGGATGGGAGGACGTTGGAGGTCAGCCAGGCTAACAGCTTCTGCTGACTGGGGGACAGGAAAGGCAGAACTTAAGCTCAGGCCTCAGGCATAGGAAAGGATAGGAAAGGGACAAAGGAGTGTCCTGAAAAGGAGGTCCCAGGCAGGCCAGCTCCCACTGATCTGAGTTTCTCCACTCTGCCCCGACCTCCATCAAATAAATCTTACCATGACCCTTTTCTGCTCCCTCCCCCAAACAGTGTTCTTGACTGCCTCTACCCAGATAAAGCGGCTCCCCACCTCCTCCAAGCGCTGTCCCTCACTCCACTCCTTCCCTCAATTCCAGGTCTGTTTGCCAGACACCACCTTATGCTCTGGATCCCTCCCAGCCTTCCTTGGGTCCTCAGTTTCCCAGCCCCCAGTGACATCACCCACCTCTCTATCCCCACCACAGAAGGGACCTGGAACCCACAGACACAAAACCTCAACAGCAGCAGCAGGGCAGCTTCCCTTGTCCCTGCCCCACCCCCAAAGAGAGGAAGAAATAGAACTGTATATTTTGGTGCCTCTAGTGCCCCCCCCTCCCCAGAAAACCCTGGGAGGCTGAGGATGGAGCGGAAGGCAGAGCTCAGTCTGCAGGAAATTAAACATGAAATGAAAACAACCTTCCCTGATTGATTCCTCCATCCCACCCCCAGCCCCCACCGCAGCCGCTGATAAAGGGGGATCCCATTTCACCATGCAGAAGAGCCCTCGTGTGCTCCTTTCTCCCAGTGGGCATCCTGGGTCTGCACCCCTGAGTAAAAGTACCCCTCCCCCAGGCTCTGGGGCAGGGACTGAGACCCTAAGCCTTGGAGAGGGCTGCTCTCCAGGGAGGTCACAGGAAGGACACTCGAGGTGTGTATATGTATGTGCACATATGTGTGTGCACGCACACATGACCAGACAGATACGTTTGTGTGTAAATGTGTGTGTATGTCAGATTAGGAATGGAGAGGAAGTGCACCCCATCTCCTGACCCAATACTAAGGAGACATACAGCCCGCAGATTTTGACCACTTTCCTTCAGCAAGAGAATGAGGTCAGGCGCCATAAACAAACAACTTGAGGGCTCTAGAAACTTCACGCTGTGTCCCATCTGTTGTCCCCACCAGTCACCACCTCTACCAGGACATCAGGCCAGACCTCGCCCCATTTTGAGGATGTAGAAATTGAGGCTCTTGGTAGTGCACATGCTGCCACAGGCCCTTCTTTTCCAAGCTACTCCAGAAGCCCCACAGGCCATAGCGTCTGCTCTGGTTCCTGAGGAGTCTGGGTGCTCACAGGCAGGACAGTGGAGAGGCTGCTCTGGTCTCCATCCTGGAAGCACAGTTGGCTGCCTTGGCTAGGGAAGCCTCTGCCCTGCCTGTCCATATCATCTTTCTCACGGTCTGGGCCCAAAGTGAGCAGCCTGGGTGCAGACCACACTGGCCCAGACTTGTCCAACCATTTGCCAATGCAATAGGACATTGCCATAAACAAAGCTCACGATTGAGAACCATGCAATTGAGTTACAAAAATCAATATATTTTTAAAAGTGTTTTAAGCAAGTTTACACTTCTGCGTTGGGCTGTGTTCATAGCTGTCTTGGGGTGCATGTGGCCTGCAGACCACAGACTGAGCACACATTGCTGAGCTGTGCCTGTGTGCATCGGAATCTATAGAGCCCACTGGAAGGTGCAGAGGAAGCTGCTGCCATCATTCTCTGAGGAGCAATTAGCCTGCCCTCTTCACACTGTTCTCCTCTCCCATCCTCTCTGGCCGCACCCTCCACTCTGTCCCTAACCAGTAAAGGCCTCTAGAGGAGCAGCTTGCCCTTTTCCTTGTCTTTGTGTCTTGGGTAGTTCTCAGCCACCCCACCAGAATCTCTACACTCAGAGACCTCTCTCCTGGCCCTGTGCTTGGTCAAGTCAATGGCCCAGCACCTATGTCTCAGAGAGAGGTACCACCTGGCCAGCATCAGTCAACCTGTCTAGGATATTCAGCAGTCACCTCTACTAACACCTCGCTAAGGGCAACCCCTCCCAGCTGGTGTATGCAGCCCCTCCACCATCTAGCTCCTGTCTCCACACATCTTTTCCTGACTGCTCTCTCTCCGGAAGGCCTCACCCACCATCACTCCAGGAAAGTTCTGAGCAGACTTGGTTCCTCTCAAAATGTTGCAGGGACGTGTGTACTCTGGATTTGCATCTATAGACAGGTCCTAGAGTGTCACAGGCCTTCAGGACTATTTGAGACTAGCTAAGGGAAGAAAATTCTAGAAAGGTCTTCATAGCTTGATGGAATTCTTCCTGGGGTCTGTGACCTTCCGCAGATTATACACAGTGCTGGGAAAACAGATAACCAATGGCTTGCGCTCATTCTCTGTCTCCTCACTTATGTGAGCGTGCCTGTGTGTGTGTGTGTGTGTGTGTGTGTGTGTGTGTGTGTGTGTGTAGCTTAAGCAGTTAGGCCCCAAATCACACTTACGGGCAGTGCAGTGCACACAGCCTTGCCAATGCTGACAGTTCTACATGATTAACAGGTGGCGGCTGACTCTTTCTCTGTGCCCCTAACACACACCCCTGGCTGGTGGAGTTAGGGAGCAATGCTCCCTGCCTGCGGGCAAGGCCTGAGCCCCGTGACCACCCCTTTGTCCTGCAGGTTTGGTTCCAGAACCGGAGGGCCAAGTGGCGGAAGAGGGAGCGCTTTGGGCAGATGCAGCAGGTCCGGACCCATTTCTCCACGGCCTATGAGCTGCCCCTCCTCACTCGAGCGGAGAACTATGCCCAGGTAAGTCCTCCTGCCCAGCTGTCCCCTCTGACCCTAGACCCCAACACTGATGGTGCAGGGAGGAGGAGGGCTAGGCCCAGAGACCCCCAGGTCTCTGTTTGTCCCCGACTGTGGGAGACCTAGAATGTTGGGACAGTGTTTTCCTCTGCTGTGGTAAGCACCCGGCAAACAGATGATCAGGTGCTTCCGGAGTGTTGGCCGTCACTCAGGGCACCCTCAGGAAGGCTGTTCTGAGATCTCCAGAGCTTGTGGCCAGGTTGGAATGCACATGGAAATCTGCGCCCACGACAAAGCTTCCTCGGTCTTAGTCTTGCTCCCGACATGAGTGCCTCCAACTCTCTGAGGCCCAGCTTCTTTGCTTATGAATCAGATATGATATGTGTCCACTTCAGCTCTTCTATAACACTGTCCTAAGGTCTAGGGTCATGGTTTCTGGAAAGCAGCGTGCGTGGGCTTGATATTCGGGCATCTGCCCGCGGTCTCCCTTTCTCCAGCAACTTCCTGTCTGTCTGTCCATCAGCCAGAACAAGGGGTATTGAGTGATGTCAGGCACCCAGGGCTCCTGGACAGATGTCCTCTTGGCTGAGTGCACCCATGACACCTCTCTCATGACCTCCCTCTGCCCCTGCCCCTCCTCACCTGTTACGTCTCCTTCCTGTTCGCACTCTGCCTCCTGCTCTAAGTCTTGGGACTCCAGCAGCCGATAGCACCACTGTTCCCAGGTGCCTGGGTGTGGTGCTGTTAAACGACCTGGGCCGGCTCTGTACCTCCTCCTGCTCCCCCAGGATTTGAGGGTCAGAGGGCAGCCCTAGAGGTGAGGCTCAGGAATGTGGGTGTCTAGCATATCAGCTTCACCTCTGGTCACATTCCTTAATGCTTTTCTTCCCCTCTCCCTCTGTGCTCCCAGGGCCGACCTCTAACTCTCACTCTTGGCCCTTGGCGGCCGCCATCTGAGCTCAGAGCTAGAGGGAAGAAACCAACAAGAGACCCTGCCTGTCTCTGTCACCTGCCCCATAGACTCCAGGTCCTAGGCCATTTCCGAGAGGGGTGGCAGGCAAACTGTCCCCTCTCTGGGGCATGCTGGGGCCAGGAACAGGACATGGTCAGTCTGCAGGCAGTTCCTGGGACCATTAGAAGTTCCTGTGGACCTTGAGGACCCAGTGCCTACCTGGTGCTTTTAAAGGCCTCCTTGAGTTCTTCCTAAACCCTTGTGGGTGGGCAGGCCAGGAGAAGCCTGTCTGAGATAACTGAGAACCTAGAGTTACAGTTTAGAGGAGCATGGTCCTCTCTTCAAAGAGGACCTCGGCACCCCAGACTTACTTCCTCAGAGATGCTTAGAAGCCAGAGGAAGGTGAGGCCAGAAGTGGGGGGTGGGGTGGGAAGAGAGAAGGAATGACAGTCATTTCAATGGAAAATGTGTGGTTGAGCCCCACCTGGGGGCTGGGGCCACCTTTTCATGGCTGGGCTAGTTGGGAAACCTCAAGGGTTCTTGGAGCTTTAGGCATTGACCTGGGCCTATGGGCGCATTCATATGCCTGCTCCCCACAATGATCCCCACATCACCCCAACCTACAGAGCCAGTGTCCCCCACAAGATGCTCTCAGGTTGATCCAGGGTAATACTTTTACTGGACCCTGAGACACTTGGAAACTCAATCCTGGCTCTTGAATGTCGAGTATGGATCTGCTCTGGGAATCGCAAGTCTCAAACACAAATTCACCTCCAGCTCCCTGGGCACTCTTCATGTTAGACGCCTAAGAAGGGTTTCACTGTAATGGTGGGCAGGTGAAAAGGGTAAGCACCCCTTCTATACCACTGCCCTCCGAGCTGGCCTGTGACATCTCTCCCTTCACTGTCCCCAGATTCAGAACCCGTCCTGGATTGGCAACAATGGGGCTGCCTCGCCCGTGCCAGCCTGTGTGGTCCCCTGCGACCCGGTGCCTGCCTGCATGTCCCCTCATGCTCACCCTCCTGGCTCTGGGGCCAGCAGCGTCTCCGACTTCCTGAGTGTCTCCGGGGCTGGCAGTCACGTGGGCCAGACACACATGGGCAGCCTGTTTGGAGCGGCTGGCCTCAGTCCGAGCCTCAACGGCTACGAGATGAACGGCGAGCCAGACCGCAAGACCTCGAGCATCGCTGCCCTGCGCATGAAGGCCAAGGAACACAGCGCGGCCATCTCTTGGGCCACATGACAGGGCCCCTCCTGCCAGTCCTGATGCCGTGCTCCTTCCTCCCTGGGGCCTTGGCCACGTCCCTGCTTTCCAGGCCCCAAGCTTCCCACTTGACTCTCCTCTTAGGAACCCGGCCTGGCCCAGGGGCCTGGCCCTCAGCACTTTCAGTCACCCCAAGTCTGAGGCCCCAGGGACTGCTGGGAGGGAGGGGGTGGCAGGCCCTTGTCCCTCCCTAGCACTGAGGCCTTGAGCCCTGCTCCCTGCCAAAGGCAGTGCAGAAAGCCAGGTGGCTCTGTGTGTAGCTTTGCATCACGTAAGCTGCGGCCCTCTCTCTTCGGGTTCCTTCACCCTTCCATTTGACTTGAGTCGAAGTTAGGCTCCCCTCCAGACCTAACAGCGGTCCAGCCTTGTCCAACCGTCCTTTCTTCCTATGTGGTCCCCTGGTCATTGGGCCTATGGCTGTGTGTCTTAAGGAACAAGCTGCCTTGCGAGTCAGCTCCTGACCCCTTCTGCCCCCAACCCCCATGAAAGCACATGGAACCCCACCTTCTTTATCCAAGGCATCTGATCATCTATCCATCCAAGGGACCTTGTGGCTGTGGCTTGACTGTCCCCTGTGATGGATGCACCTGGGAAAAGTGGGAGGCGAGATGAGGGGACAGAACTGAAGGATGCTGTTGCTGTCCACCCATAAGGATGACCAAGCTCCAAGGAGATGTGGGCCAGCCTTTGATCCTGAAACTGGTTCTGGTTGACACTGTGGGGGGTGGGGTGCCATGTGAGAGGGGAGGCAAGGACGCAGATTCACCGCCACCACCACTGCTACCACCACACATGACCATCAGGAGCCAGAGAAGCTCTCAGAATGACCACAAGGAGGATCCAGTGGGCTGAACCTGGGTACCACCTGGCATCTTCTGCAGTGGGGAGGTCCCTTGGTCAGCACTGGAGCCTCCTCAGGCCCCCTCTGGCCCCTCATTGGGGCTGCTGAGCCGTGTCCTGGTCTGGAAGAATTTAAACTTTGGAAGACATAAGCTAGAGCACAGGGCCACGGCTGAAGGGCTCTGGAACAGAGGACATGTGACCAGCTCAGCCTCCTGCCAGAATGGCCTTTCTATGCTCAGACTAACAATGTCCATCCACCCACCATCCTACCACAGCATGACACCTGCCGGAGCTTTCCACACAGGGTAGGTGGACATCGGTGCCCCTCTAGGCTAAAAGGAGAGCTGCTTTCCAGCTGCCCTCCACACCCTCTTAGAGAGCCAATCTTACTTCTTCCCCAGGGGCCATGGTCTCTGCCTCAGCTGGCCTCAGGAAAGACTCACATCAAGGCCCACTCTCTGTGGCAGGAAGTCCTCCTGAAGTCAGTCCCCCATCTGAAGGAAGGGGATCCCTGTCTACCTGACTTGACCTGGAGCTAGGAACTAGGATTTGAAGTGGTCCCAGCCCTCACCTGAGCTGGAGCACAGAGCCACCCTTGAGGTAGGTCCCTCAAGCAGGTGGCCTTTTCCTGAGGAGACACACTTGCCTTTTCTACCTTTCTGCCTTGACTATTGTCTGTGAGGTGGGCTGGGCCCACTAGGCCCAGGGTTCTGCTCACTGATTGGTCTCTCAGGTTGGGCTGAGGACTGAGGACCCCTGCCTTAGATCTGCCCTAGGTCTCAGTGGGTTCGAGGGAACCACAAACCCCTGTTGTGTGCCCTTGTCGGCTCTGGAACGTAGACAGAGTAAGCTCTCAGTAGAATGTAGACTCTGGGTTGGCCACCTCTTCAGAAACTGTAGTTCTCCAATAGACCTTAGGAAGACAAAGGAGGCCTTGGGTATTGAATTCAGTGTTCCTGGTGGCTTGGCTTTAATGTTTCAGATGTTTGGGGAACAAGTTCTCCAGTTCTGGAGTGACTGAAATAACTCCCTCCCTCAGAATCTAGCAAGAGAAGGAAGAACTTAAGGGCAGGAGCAATTCCTTGGGGTTCTTCCTCATGGCTGTCATGGCTGGGGCAGGGCAAGTGGGGAAATGTGTCCATACCCTAGATAATCAGTACAAAGAGTGAAGAACCAGAACAGCTCAGGAAGAAGGGAGAGTGAGCTTCTGGTAGATTCTTCTGGAAAGGAGTGACATATAACTTCTTTAGGTTTTATTCCTGGCCAGGCTAGACCCAAGTCAGGCAAATTCCAACCCATAAGCTTGAGAATAAAAAAGTATATAGCAATAGCAGATTGCTCTCCACCACAGTCAAGAATTGACATACCTCCCATCATCTCTCCAGATGGAGCAATTTTTACCTAGGCTGTTTCTGGAGGGCCTTGGCATCAGATGGTTCCTAGGGCAGCAGGAGATGCTCTGAGCTCCCACGGGGCCTCCATCATGTCTCACATCTCCTCAGCTGCCCAGGTCCCCTGAAGAGAACTGTGGGGTCCTGTTGTCCCTAGTGGGTCTGTCTTAGCCCCTGGGATGCCCTAAAGTAACAAAGGCCTCCATGGCAACCTAGCTTCCTAATGAGCCAGATCTTCCAAAGGCACAGCTGTAGAGAGAAGACTACCTGCTGGGTGGTCACTTGCTGGACAAGCAAACTGAGTGAGCTGAGTAAGCCAGCCTTGCCTGCCAGCACACAGTAAGCGGCCACATCCAGTCCTGGCAGCCTGGTGTATCACAGAGAGCGGTTACGCCTGTCTCAACCCATCTCCCCAGGAGCCCCTTCCTTTCACAGTGTGGGGGCCAAGACTCTGGGGCAAACAGAAATGTCTCCAAATTTTTCTTTTTCTTTTAGTTTTTTTTTTTTTTTTTTTTTAATTCTTCCTGATTCTGTTCTCACAACCATGCCTCTACCTTTGGGAAGCAGGATGGGTGAAGATTTAGGCAAAGAGGCAGCAAGATCCAGGGCTTCCCCAGCACACACTGCCATGCTCATGTTGGACACAGCTCTGATGCCTCATCTCCCTGAGGAGACAGGAAGGATTCCATGGAAACCGCCATGTGCCCTTTACACAGTCAATTGCCTCTGGGATAGCCTTGGGCAGATCATCTCTGGGGACTCAGAAGAAACCAAGGCCCCAGGTCCATGGGAATGACCCTGACTGTCAGGTAGGGAGACACACAGACCCAGGAGAGGGAGAGTGGCAGTCAGCCTCGCCCCCAGGGTGCTAACCAATAACCATACAATTTCAAACCAGGACAAGCTTCCATTTCTTTCCCTCAGCCCTCCTTCACTGCAAGGATGCCCTAGGGAGGAATTCCCACCAGACAGTACTTCCCAGCCTTCCCTCTCCTTTCTTCACCCTTCACTCACACATAGAGCTAGGCCTGTATACTACTGATTTTGGAGGACCGTTTTCAGTGTCTAATAACCTGTTTGGGTGTGCAGTGGTCAGAAAAAAAAAAGAGAGAGAGAGAGAAAGAGAAAACTGAGTAAGAGATGGAACATGAACCTCAACCAAAACTCGCTGTTCTTGTAAGATATTTTAACCCTGTATAAATGCAACTTTTTCTTTAGCTTAATGGCCTGGGGTGGAACATTCAAATATATATAAATATATATATAGATATATAAAATACATTAAAATTTCAGAAAAACGTAAAAAAAAAAAATTGAGGTCCGTTCCATAAAGTTTTACTGCCTATACCACCATGTAACTACATTATAGCAAAATATTAAAAGGAGCATTCTTTTCTTTTAAAGTAAGTTATTGCACTTACATCTTTTGGAGAGGGGAGGAATGTGGGAAGAAGGGGGCTGAGGGGCTGGGGTGGGCGGAATGCAAGGCAGAGGCAGCTGACGCTCCCAGCAGCCGCCTCGTCGGGCGCAGCCCAGACTGTCTGTTTGGTTGTTGTTGTTGTTTGCAATAAACTCCTTCCTCCTCTCGACTGGAGTCTGTCTGTTTTGTTCCTGACTTATGACAGATGAAATGTGATCAGAGAGGCCTCTGAAATCTCACGTTAATTGAAGTCGGCAAAAAAATACTAACAGTGCCCTTTTGAACTGCTGACACAGTGCAGGATGGGTTACCAGGCTAGATTAACAACAGGTGGCCAGCCAATCCTCCAGCGCAAAGAGGGGTGCATGGTCTGACGGGGTCTGGGACACACACACCCTTTGGCTCTTGAGTGGCAGGCAAGTCCAAGGGCCCAGAGAGGCCTAAGCGTGCTTCTTAGACAGTGGGACGGATCATGGGCAAAGCTTCTTGCTCCCCTGTGCCTAGTACAGACTGTGCCAGGAGGGCTTCATCTGCAGACATGCTCCACATCCCTGATGTCCCTGAGAACAGTGCTTCTGGAGGCTGTTCTGGAAGCCAGATGAGGGCCAGGGCATCAGGTCCTGCAACTCTGCACTGAGAGGTACAGGGCAGACCTCTGGGAGATGCAAGACCCAAGCCTGGCCCTGATAATGAGTACCCCGTGGTAGAAGGAGCCTTCCCAGAAGGAAAAAAAAAAATGGACAAATAAGTCTGAAAGCCAGACTCTGAGGACAAAGGTTGAAGCAGACAGGGACTGCAGGATGGGACTCAGAAAGAGGCCCTGAGTCTCAGAGCAGCTAGTGTGAGGGGCAGGGTCGGAAGCCCAGGAATATACCCTGTCTCTGTCTAGTCTACCAAGCTGTGGGGAGGGTTAATGCATGCGCTTATAAGCTGATGTGGCGAAGGGGTGTGAAGAATGATGGCTGTTCATAGCTGTTCTTCCCAGCCTCCCATTCCAACTATCCGAACACTCTCTCAGAGATACCTTAGACTTGTTGCCTTGGGGAGGGAATTCCGTGTAGCACAGATGTTTTAGGTAGACCTGGGAACTTGCTTTAGGAAATGACAGCTGGCACACATTAGGGCTGAGGGACACAATAGCATTTGGACTCTTACCCCAAATCACAGAACAGCAACTGAGGCCGAGGCAGGAAAAGGCACATGTACCTAGAAACCGTGGAGTGCTGTTTCTACCACCCATCTCTACTTCTTCCTCGGGAGTTAGGCACTCGAAACAAGGCTCTTTCTTTCTCCAGGGAAGTTTAGCTAAAGTTTTTTTGGTCCTGGCTTCTGCGGTCTCATAGTCTCACAGACACTCAGACCCAAATGAACACACAGAGGCTTATATTAATTAAAACTGCTCAGCTATCAGCTCAGGCCTACCACTGACTAGCTCTTACACTTAAACTCAGCTCATTTCTGTTCATGTATAAGGTGCCACATGCTCTGTGGCTTTACCTGTGTGCCATTACATGCTGCTCCCTGGACTGTGGCCTGGCATCTACTGACTCAGCCTTCCACTTCCCAGAATTCTCCATGTCTGTTTATCCTGCCTATACTTCCTGCCTGGCTACTGGCCAATCAGTGTTTTATTTATAAACCAATCAGAGCAACACATTCACAGCATACAGAACATCCCACAGCAGGGAAGTCTGGCTTGTGGGAAGATGGCTGGGTCCTACATCCCTGGTGACTGAGGGAGTCCATTCCAGAGACTGGTGCCTCTCAATACAGCCATCTCTCTGTCCCCTCCTGGTCCTCTTCCACTAAGGGATCCCCCACTGATCCTGTGCGTTTCCTTCAGACAAGGCCTCTGTGGATCTTTGCTTAGTACCCACCCAGGTCATCTGCTTCCCGGGAGCTGTGTGCAGTGTGGTATTGGCACAAAACCCTGAGGGCATCAACTCTTATCTGTGCCTATCCCACACAACTAAAGACTCTCAGGACCCAGGCTGTGCTCACATTAGAGTGCAGGTTCTGAGTGAACGAAATAAGACTCGGAGCTGTGATTCAGGGTTGGGGAGGAAGAGAGTCAATACACTTTATGTCTAGCCAGAGTGGGCCGGGAATGTAGCTCAGGTGGTGCAGGGCTTCCCTGGCATGTATGAAGCCCTGCAGTTCATCCCTAGCACTGCATAAATGATGACACATGCCTGTGATCCCAGCACTTGGGAGGTGGAGGCAGGAGGATTGCAAGTCCAAGGTCATCATTAACTATAAAGCAAGTTTCAGGCCAGCCTGGGTGACATGAGACCCCAGAGAGAGAGGGAGGAGGAGGAAGAGGAGGAGGAGGAGGAGGAAGAGGAGGAGGAGGAGGGAGAGCAAGCAAGTGAGGAAGACAGAGGGGCAGAGGAAGGTGACTCAGGTCTCTGGAGAGCAGCTTGTCATGAACTCAGAGCCTCAGCTTGACCATGAACCCTGCTGTGTTCCTCAGGATTCCTGTACCTTTGTGAAGAGCCATAACAGGGCATTGTCCCCATTATTTATTCCTCCTGGGGTCAAGCCAGCCCAAGGCTAGCTTCCCATGACAGTGCAGCAAGAGTCCTGGCCCAGCAGCATTCATCCTGGAGCCTCTCCACTTAGTCTTGGGCTCAAATCCCATGTTTCAGTCTCCCTTAGATAACCCTCGTGCCCCACACCCTCAAGCCTGCAGAGAGATTTTTTCCTGCCTTGGTGCCAAGCCCAGCCAAAGCTGTTTTTGCCCTGTGCCCCCTGCCTTGCTATAAGAAACCCTGCCAACCCTGGCCACCATGAGTGGGTTGGTCCCCAGACAACAGAACGCTTGCTGTGCTGGAGAGTGTGGAGTGGGGGCTGGGGGCGGAGCTCATCCTCCCATGGCCCAGATTTGCATGCTCAGCAGCTAAGGAACAATGGACCCTCCACAAATAGCCAGCTCCCCCCAAATAGGGCTGACTACAGACCCTCTACGTGTTCGTGGCGAGAAGATGTAAGCCGGCGCCAGAAGACAATGGGGTGTGAGAGTTGAAATTTTCCCAGGAATTCTGTGTGATTCCAAACAGATTTTTTTTTTTTCCTTTTTAGCTCAACACAGACCAACAGGCTTGAGGAAGGGCAAGCTTGCACACGGAGCTTGGGTTTACGGCCATGTGCACACCATGTGTTAAGGTGTTGCCTTGGCTGGTGGGGAGCAAGCCCACTGTGATGCCTGCATGGGATCTCCCTGGAGCCCTTCAGGACATGGTTCTTAGATGTTCCAGGACTGGGGGGTGGGGTGCTGCAGGGCTCTTGCCAAGTCTTCTGGGGATGTCTCTTTCATTTTTTCACAAGTCCCCTCCCCCGCTTTTCTCTGCTCTGTACCTACAGTGTACCTCTATTATTCCCAAGCTCTTTGGGAAAAGTAATCGGCCCACACATACCATGGACTGAGAGAAAAATGAAGATGAGAGAGAGAGAGAGAGAGAGAGAGAGAGAGAGAGAGAGAGAGAGAGAGAGACAGATGAAGATGGTTGAGAGGATGGGGCAGGGACGGAGTGCAGAATCAGGCCCCACCTCCCCTCTAACAGACTTACACGGAGAGCTCTGTCCTGAGGAAAGAAGGGGGAAGCCGGGAAGTCACAAGTGATGGCTGTCAGAGCTGGTCTTAAAGATGGCCTCTGCTCTGCTACTTCAGGCCAGACACTAAAATGCTTCTGTTGCATGTCCTGCCCCCATCTACACAGCAGAGACACGGCTGTGATCCTCTCACAAGGCAGTCACGGAGTCCAAGAGTTGAAAGGTTTGGCACAGTGAGGAGCTGTGCAGAGACAGGCGATGCTATGCATACAAGAGCTTGCTGCCACCCAAGTGGTTAAGGGCAAGACACCAAACATGGGGGGACTGTCACCAAGTGTGTCACCAGACTAGGATGTATTTCCGGGCGACTCAAGGTGGACAGTGCAGTATTCTGTCTTCGTGGATGCCATAACTAAGTTCCACAAACAACAGACATTCAGTTCCTCACAGCAGCAGAGGCTGGGGCCCTGGCTCATGGAACTGAAGTGGTCTATCTCTGGCTTGCAGATAGCCGTCTTCTCTGGGGGTCCTCCTATGCCCTCTCTACAGGCACATGGAGTAACACAGCTTAGCTGTCTCTTCTCTTTCTTGCTGATAGTAGAACCCGCCCTCATGAGCTCTTCATAGATGCTGTCTCCAAACACAGTGGCACTGTGGGGTTGTGTGTTAGGGCTCCAGTAAGTGAGCGAGGGGCAGAATTCAGTTAATAACAAGCAGTGAGGCTTGTGTGTGTTATGTGGGTGATGGACATGGATGCACACGGACAAGTGGCCGATCGTTACTAGAGGGTTTCAGAAGTCCCAGTGAGTTCCCACAGTGGTCTGGAAACCTCTGGTTTAGCGCCCTGCCATTTTCTTCTAGGCACCTCTCATTCCCATTCTCTCCCTGGTCCATATCATCAGGCCAGCAACCAGTTCTGTCCAACTGTCCCTAGTGAGACACTAACCTGAGAAGCCTCACTGCCAAGAGGCCGAGAGGCCGAGGCTACAACTCCATAAACTGTAGGTGTCAGCCTAATTGGACTATGGGACACCTACAGGGTCCCTTCTGGGTGGGAGGGGGCTTCCAAAGGAGCCTGGTGTGTAAGTCAGAAATAGAATGGAGAAGACTTGCCCCAAGCATGAGTGGTACCATGCCATGGGCTTAGAGTTCGGACAGAAAGAGACTGAAACCCTCTGTGTTAAGTCCTGCCTCACAGGACTGGTGGCACTCTGAGTGATCCAGTCTTCTTCCTGGAGGAAATGACCCTGGAAGGCAGAAGTTATCTTTCACTTCTTTCTTTCTTTGTATGTGCTGCCCTAACAAAATCCAATTTATAAACAAGAGGCATTGACTTCTCACAATAGAGGCAAAGAGCCCAAGTTCAAGGTGGCAGCAGCCTGGGGGGCTGGTGTGGCACCTTCCTTCACATGGTAGGAAGGACAAACATGCCTCTCTTGGGCTTCTTTTATAAAAGCACTAAATCCTACTCACCTCCCACATGCCCGGTGGCACTGGAGACCCTTTAATAGTCTATAACCTGGACCAAGGCCATTTTCTGATACCCATCATCCGTATCATGCTTCTGCTGCCCCAAACAGCTGAGCCCTTGCTTACCCTCACAAAGAACTAGCTTTG